AAATTACAAGCGTTGTTAAAACTTTACTTGCCTGAAAACAGTCGTCGAAAGACTTAATACCCATATCAAATGCATAATCACCTGGTTTCATCACTGATTTACAGTGGTCCATTCATATAATTTTTCACAGACATTTTTTCAGTTAACTAAAGCGACAAAACTTTTTCCATGGCCACAAGGAATGTCTGCTTATATTAAAGATAAAAAAGTGTTTCGCTTACCGAATGTTTCAGTTGTGATGTCAGCCTCTGTATGAATATTGTTGAATCTTCGTAAGCTTCTTATATACACCATCCTTTTAACACATTACGTGACATAATAACATGTCCGTTTCCATGCATTTAATTTCAGCTCTCTTTCTTCTTAACTGTTTCAATTATATTTTCAACAAAACGCACAAAGGTTCTTTGTCTGCGAATTCAGTGAGTTTAAATATTGTTTCCGCCGACTTAATTCTGCGAACGATTTAGCACGTTGTCATAGCTGTTCCTGTGTGTCTATTGTATAAGTCATGAATGCTACGGGGTCAGTCTTAACAGGACTGTAACAGTACTACACCAGAAACAAATGTAATTCCACACGAGTAAATTATTTCAAAAGTCGGAACACTGTAAATAGACAATTTCATATTTTCAGCACTCAGTGTTACAAGCACTTCTATAAGAAACACCCAGAATTAAGGACCTTATTGTATATATTATACCAAATACAAAATCAACACAATGTATTTGTCAACCGGCATGTGACCATGTAAATAAGCAGAGCTTGTGTCGAAAACTATCTATTGTTCTCAGGCACGTATATCATGTACACAACAGGATGACTACACAGAAGAAGGTGCTCGTATATCATGTACACAACAGGATGACTACACAGAAGAAGGTACTGAGGCTCGTATATCATTCTTCCCTAACAGTGTTAAGATGTATATGCGTATACGTGTGTATTCTCCTACGATGGATTGGCTTGGTGCATGTGTGTGGACTGGCTTGAGGCATGTCTGTGTGGACTGGCTTGGTGCATGTGTGTGGACTGGCTTGAGGCATGTCTATGTGGACTGGCTTGGTGCATGTGTGTGGACTGGCTTGGTGCATGTGTGTGTGGACTGGCTTGAGGCATGTGTGTGGACTGGCTTGAGGCATGTCTGTGTGGACTGGCTTGGTGCATGTTTGTGGACTGGCTTGAGGCATGTCTATGTGGACTGGCTTGGTGCATGTGTGTGGCCTGGCTTGAGGCATGTCTGTGTGGACTGGCTTGAGGCATGTGTGTGGACTGGCTTGAGGCATGTCTGTGTGGACTGGCTTGGTGCATGTGTGTGGACTGGCTTGAGGCATGTCTGTGTGGACTGGCTTGGTGCATGTGTGTGGACTGGCTTGAGGCATGTCTGTGTGGACTGGCTTGGTGCATGTGTGTGGACTGGCTTGAGGCATGTCTGTGTGGACTGGCTTGGTGCATGTGTGTGGACTGGCTTGAGGCATGTCTGTGTGGACTGGCTTGGTGCATGTGTGTGGACTGGCTTGGTGCATGTGTGTGGAATGGCTTGGTGCAATGTGAACGGGAGGTTGACATCAACCCAGGTACGTCTGAATATTTTGAGTTACTGCGTTATGAAATAAACATACAATAGTTTCAAATGTTCATCTTGATTGACATGATAAAATTCTCTCCTTGAAATAAACGCATTGTATGTCTATTTAATGTTCAATTCTACCATGACAAAATATCAGGCGAATTCTTTGGTTTAGCGAAGATAATGAGCGAAGTTAAGCCTTGTATGTTTCAGCAGGCTGTTGATAGTTGCCATTTAACAAAGTAAACTGAAGAGCAAAAGAAGCTACACCTCTCAGTAGATTTCTACATGTTTGGTATTCAATTGAGAAGATCTTAAGTTGACGATATAATGTCCAAAAATATAACTGGACTGGCGCCTTGTCAGCACTCAACTTTTAAATGGTTATATTTTTAAAACAAATATAATAAAAATTAAAATAATAATCCGCATAATACACAACTCCTGATGGATATATTTGACATAGGATCGTTGAAAAACAATAGATTTGCCTTTTTCGGCACAACGTTACATTCAAAACATATTAGGGGTCATGTGGTTACAAATTCATTTCTTATGCAAGGTTTCATTAAACCAATTTATTATTGCAGAAAATTACTAAGCCACAGAATATTTTTTACAAACTGTTGCAGGAATAGACATAATCAAATTTAACAAACGTTCTTTCAATGTTCAATTACATAAGAAAACAGCCTACTTTCTTTTGCTCTTCAGATTGTGTCACAGTGTATATAAAATGTTTTACCAACGTGTGTAGCACGTCTATTCGTTTGGAAACATTCATAAAGTGTTGACTCTGAAAGTTATTACAATTATATACTATGGAAGCGTAGTAGGGCCACGGTGAAATGTTTTTTGTCTAAGTATCTCCTACGCAGGAGTTATTATCTTCTACGTAGGGCTTACTATCTCCTACGTAGGACTTACTATCTCCTACGTAGGAGAAAATAAGTCCTACATAGGAGATAATAAGTTCTACGTGGGAGATAATAAGTCCTACGTAGGAGATACTAAGCCCTACGTAGGAGATAATAAGTCCTACGTAGGAGATACTAAGCCCTACGTAGAAGATAATAACTCCTACGTAGGAGATACTTAGAGAAAAAACATTTCACCGTGGCCCTACTACGCTTCCATAGTATATTGACATTGTCCCAGTTTGCAAACAAGAATTCTTAGAGCTTACATTTTCGGTATAACTCTGTATATTCATCTGATACCAGGACTTAACCTTCTTGCGAACACATGGTGTCAACACTGACTTTCAGTGACCCATTCACAACAGTTTCACCACTATTTTGTATTTTGGAATCTGTTAAATTAGAAAATCGATAATGGTTATTATCTGGCATTGACGTTTTAAATTTCTACAAACAATGGCTGTTTACGACACGGGTTTTGGTTGATAATAACATCTTGTTTTACATAATAGCAATTAATGTTTGTGTATGCCTGTAATAGCTGGGTTTTGTATCACATGGATGGGCAACACATTTCAGCAAGAGGTAAGCTTATGTGGTTGATCGGAATCATATTATATTTAATATATACAATAGTATATAGACAATTACTCTTGACGAGGTCAGTACGCGAAAACAAGGACCCATGGACCCATGGACCTGAGGGGGTCGGGTCCGAGGGTCCTTGTTTCCGTATGTTGAGCTCGTCAAGAGTAATCTTTCGATTTGTTAATCTTTCGTTTTCGTTGAAGTTTATGAAGTCAAAGATTGAAATAACACACTTTTTTCAATGAAGTTTAAGTCATGTGTACTTTTGGGTTCAAGGGTAGCCCAGTCGCCCGAGGTGCCGAAATTCGCTCTGCAGAGATGCTCTGATTCTAGTTCAATCTATAAGGACCATACCGTACCCGTGGTATATCAAATTGATATGACGATTTAAGCGGTGTCAAACCGACCTCACTAACTCTGTTCATTCTATTTCAGACATGAACATAAAGTAACAATGAGGGAAATATTGCTGTTGGGTCGTAAGTGATGAACTAACGTTCTTTTCACGCTCATGGATAACCATCTCACCTAGTTTCTCTTCTCCAAATGCTGCATTGAATCTTTCAAAGAAACCGTGATTCACGCTATTTACTGGAGGGAGTTGTATGAACCACCCCTCTCCCCAGACCTTCGCGCACAATAGTAGGGCAAATATACTTGACCCAGCTACCGGGGTAAGGTAATATAACACGGGTACATGACGAGTACATGCAGACACCCAAACAAGGAAGACTGGTGGAGACTAATAGAATTCTGCAACTGAAGAGGTTATATGTGTATGCGTAATGATGAAAAGATCAGATTGCTACATATATTGAATTAAATATGTTTCTTTGATTGTTTGAGTTGTGATATTAATTGAAATATATGGTGACTGATACTATACTCATGGAAATTAGTTAAGCAGCACCCGTGTATTCTCAGACTGAGCAACGTTAATGAACTAGTGCGTGAAATGTGTAAAAGATTTCCATACCAAATAAATTATTAATGAAAAGAAAGGGTTCTGTCTCATTTTAGGCCGTCGTGTTCGACAAAGAGACCCACCTGTCCCTACGCTCAATGAATTGACTCCTGCTTTGCATGAGAAATGGGACAGAATTCCTCAGAATCAAATCCAGAGATTGATGGAGGATTTAGGAGGCGCCTTGAAGCAGTTGTTCGGGTTCAGGGAGGTTACACAAGATGCTGATGGAAAGTCAATATTTGGACTTGCAGGACATTGTCCTTCAGTTCCGTGAACCAGAAGTGTGTATGGTACTGACAGTCTGTGCAACATAACTGACATTCGTAATTTTGGGATGAAATTAAATCATTTTCCAAATCTGTAACATCTAAAAAAACACACATTCTTTCATGGTAAACTTGGCTATGTTCCTCCTCAACCCTTTCTTTTCACTAAATAATTTATTTGGTATGGAAATCCTTTACACATTTCATGCACTAGTTCAATAAAGTTCCCCGGTCTGAGAATATACGGGTGTTGCTTAACTAATTTCCATGTGTATATATTCAGAACAAATTTCAATTGATTTTCTGTTTGCTAAGAACCCATTGCCAGAAACATATTTCTTCTAGGTTGTAAAGGCAATGACGTAGGCGTAAATAAAGTCACGTCACACATTCTTTATCGAATCTACAAGTAGTCAATACAATGCATCAGCATATTCACACGTTAACTCCATCTTATGAGCCAGTAAGGCTGTGTTGTGTCAACATCGTTTATGACTGGTGGTCCTATCAGCCTATTCAGTTTTTGTCCCATCACCTCGCCCTGTTGCTCGGCCAATGTATCTTCTCCTGCCAATCACCATCCTTTGTATGGATGTTTAACTTGGGTGTGACAACCCCAGTAATGGAAGCCGTGCATTCATAGTGTCCTCAAATGTTTACCAACTCGATAAAATGAATAGTACAGATATATAACGCATTTTGACAGATAGTCCGCCTCGGTTTGGCAAGTGGGAAAGAAGATGGCGGCGATCAAACTTCTAACACTTGCCTTGGCCGTACACGGAACCTTCGCAGTAGATTTTACTGGTGAGATATGAACATATTGCAATATTATCAAGGAACAGATTTTAAAAAATAGCATGTGACTCTTTTCTATTGAATTCTTTCTATTCATACACTTAGAGTTGATGTTTGACGCGTCCAATTTTGGAAGGTTGTTCCGCTTCGGAGTCCCATGCAATCCTCTTAAATCATTGTCACAGTTGTTTTATGGACTATTTCATGTTAATATTTTACATTACCGAAATATGATAATTAATGTAACATTGAGTAAATGTTTTGTCACGTTCATTATTTGTTAACAAATATGATCTTCCAGTGAGGTTAGGGTGTAGAGTTAAGCGGGTACACGACGTGTCCATCTATTGGCGATGGAGTTCTTGTATCTATTGTACCGTGGTGTGGAAAATAAGCAAATAACTCCAAAACAGTGAGGTCGACATCGTTGCTTTCCAACAAGTTATCTCCCCCATGACGCCCTATTGTGTTATATAATACGCTCGCATTCCCCTAATTATATTTTTATATAAATATGTCTGTTGGCTCAAATCGTTGGCAATAACAGTGTCATGCTGCGTGGCGAGGAATATATTTATGCGACTGTCAACATTGTTGGAGCGATGTCGCAAATTATAACGAGCAGTACAAACATAGATGAAATTCGTTCAGAATACCACGTGCGATGTCTCAACATTAATGAATCTGGTCCCTTGATTTTGCTTCAGGATTTAGAATTTGTACACGTCATTGCAAAACATGCAACCCTGATTGAAATAGATCTAAGCATTTCAGTTCATTTGAAAAGCTCGTAAACAACAGTTCATGTTAAAACTTGAATTACCTGTTAGGTTAACTTTGAAAAAAAGATATACCATTCATATACCATTGGAAGTAGAATATGCCCAATCTAGAAACTGAAGTAAGCTTAAAAATAAAGTAATGAAAAGGATGGCAACTGCTCTAGCTTACCCTTGAATAAAATAGACAAGGAAGTAGCTATACAGTCAAATCCTTGTTGATAAGCACGATACATTATAGGTCAGCTGCTTGATCTTTCAAAGAGAATGTCGTTTACTGTGTTTTTGTATTGCGAATATACATGACAATATCAGCATCCTTCTACATGCATTGAGCATATGTATGTACCTTCTCGCATCAGTAAGCAACAACCCTGTGTGTAAGAACGTGATGTCTGTGAATGAGGCCCACCCGTTAAGCACACACTGCTTTGAAAGAACCACATGACGCTTAAGAAAGCAGCGCGCCTTGTGGACATCTTAAATCTGTATGATCCCAAATGTACAAGTTTTTATATCATAAAAATAAACTTACTGTATTCAATTCTTAATCAATCAAGGACACGACCATGACAGACCGTGGTTGATAAGGATTATTCTTGGATCCGAACCAACATGTATCATTTATTCTCCTTTGTCAAATGAGATAATCAATTATGTCCTTTGTAACATTACATAATCAAGTACGTCCTTTGTAAAATAGCGTAATCAAGTACTTCTTCTGAAACAGAAGATAACCAAGAACGTCATTTGTAACATAACGTAATCAAGTACAGTGAAATACGTTTATAACGAACACGATTATAACCAACTCCCGGATACAATGAACTGTGTTTATGCGCTGTATCTATGCGTATAACGAAATACGGTTATAACGAACAAAAATTAGTAGTCCTTTTGAGTTCGTTAAAATCGTAGTTTACTGTACTTCCTTTGAAACATTACATAATCTAGTCTTTCCTTTGTAACATAAGATAATCAAGTACGGCATTTGTATCAAAAACGTAATTAAGTTCTTCCTTTGTAACATTAGATAATCAATTATGTAACATAAGATAATCAAGAACGTCTTTTTAAACTAACGTAATATAGTACTTCCCTTGAAATAATAGATAATAAAGTATGTACTTTGTAACATAAGATACTCAAGTGTATCCTTTGTAACATAATATACTTATATCTTTTGTCATATAAGATAATCAAATACATCATAATGCAATATATAATTTGTATTCCAACATTAGATAGTCATGATGAATATCCCGGTTTCTTTAACATCAATACACTATATATATATGTATATATATTTCAGTGTGTGGCTTTGTTTATCGTGATGGCGTCTGTCGTGAAGGCGGATGTCCAAGCGGAACTGTACAACAGAGCGATACTTTTTTCAATTATGCAGCTTGCCAAACTGGATTCAAATGTTGCACTGGAACACGTGAGTACTGTTCTTCAGCACACCCCTTCATCACGTGTGGTGGTGTTATTTGTGAAAAATGTAGTGTTTTGGAAATATTATTTGCATCATAAATCAAAGTTAGTGTTATTTCAATGGAATTCAGGTATCTCATGAATAAGAAAGGGACCATTAATGATGGCAGTATCTTGACGGTGACGATGACACCCGATCCGCCAAGCAACAGAGCTCATTACATCCATTGTAGTGTGTACTAGATCTGTTTCAGATCAACAACAAAACCGTTTGTAATATTTTCAGAATGTGTTTATTTTCACGGTTTTGCACAACAATGTATTCATACAAATAAAATATGACAGCTTGACCAAAGCTCATTTAAATAATCTCCATTACACTTGATGATTGATGTATATTTTGTTAACTTATAAAATTCAGTAGACTCCATTTGTATAGTTTGGACGGTTGGTGAATATTTAATTTTTCGAAATCTTTGGACAAAAAGGTTTAAAGAATTATTGTTTGTCGATAATAACCCAAAATCCCATTCTTTGGCTATACCTATCTAAAATTGCATTTCCTAGTGTCCTAGTTTCCAGGTCTTTGGTAATAAAAGATTATAAGTAGTTTTTAGCGAATATAGTATCATGAGTATCACGGACTGGTACATGACTATCTGAACCAATGAAATACGTATTGACCGCGTACAAAATAGATTGTCGTAAGAGGCGACTAACGGGATCGCGTGGTCAGACTCACTCAATTGGTTGATGCATATCATCGTATCCCACATGTATGGATCGATGTCCATCACTGGATTGTCTGGTCTCGAATTATTACAGACCGCCGTCATATAGCTGGAATATTGCTGAGCGCGGCGTTAAACAACAAACAATGACACAAACAAAAGAAAGGAAATAAAATGATACAAAGTATCTACAACTTTCTGTCAACCCAAGCCTGCAGGTGATATCACAATTACAAACATATTTAACAGACAAACATGTAAAATGTAAGCGAAAAAGTATTGCATGTAATAAGCAGCAAGAACATTGAGCACCTTTAATGAAGAATGTGCTTCTATGTAGCGACCGCCACTTGTGAGAACGAGGGGAACTGTGGCGTCTGGGGCGCAACTGCTCGACTTGCCTTTTCCAAGGATGACAAACCAAAGCAAGCCCCATGGCAAGCATCCCTTCGACGCATGAATGGACAAAATCTTCCCAAGACCCTGGCTAACTCACTTCATAATGCTGGCGGAGTTCTTATACAGAAGAACTGGGTTCTATCAGATTGTGCAGCAGTTATGAGGTATGTTGGTTCGGTTGGTTGGTTGGTTGTTTAACGCCGCACTCAGCAATATTCCAGCTATATGACGGCGGTCTGTAAATAATCTAGTCTGGACCAGACAGTGATTGACAACATGAGCATCGATCCACGCAATTTGGATAGATGACATGCATCAACCAAGTCAGCGAGCCTGACCACCCGATCCCGTTAGTCGACTTTTACGACAAGCATAGTCGCCTTTTACGGCAAGCATCGAAAAAGCGCAAATGGGATACGATGACATGCATTAACCATGTCAGCGAGCCTGACCACCCGATCCCGTTAGTCGCCTTTTACGACAAGCATAGTCGCCTTTTACGGCAAGCATGGGTGGTTGAAGAGCTATTCTACCCCGGCTCTTCATGGGTCTATGAGGTATGTATTCATTGTCATTAAAACAGGATTGATACTTACTTTGTACATCATTAGCAAACCTGCCTATGAGCTATCATGTAAGATGTGCACACTGCATAATTGTTTGGTTTGTTTTTTGTTTAACGCCACTATTAGAAATATCCTAGCTATATGACGGCGGTCTGTAAATAATCGAGTGAGGAACAGATAATCCAGTGATTGATATCATGAACATCGATCCACGCAATTGGGATCGTTGACATGTATCAACCGAGTCAGCGAGCCTGACCACCCAACCCCGTTAGTCGCCTTTTACGACAAGCATAGTCGCATTTTACGGCAAGCATGGGTTGCTGAAGACCGGAATCTTCACGGGTCACCCCCATGTTTATTGGTAGCTAAAATTAAACTTACAAAAAATGGTTATTTATAGTTGCATGCATTAACCAAGTCAGCGACTGTAACCCCCCGATCCCGTTAGTCGCCTCTTACGGCATGGGTTGCTGAAGGACTTTTCTAACCCGGATCTTCACGGGTCGCACACTGCACTGTCTTAGTGAAATATACTTTTCACACATGATCGTATCTATAGAAGTTGACGTTATACACGTCTTAATACCGACATTCCTCTAAGTTATCTGTGTGGCATGTGCATGTAGTACTACAATATTTAAGTGAGAGATACTTTTCAGTAAGGATCTTATCTATGTACGTTTACGTTGAACAATTTCTGAACACCGATATATGCATATAAATAAAAGCGACAAAACACTTACAATAATCATAATAAAGCTCTTTTAAAAGCTGAGTCAATATACTTTTCCGACTATATCTTACGAATGTGTTTATGAATCTTTATGAAATGGTGTTCGCGAAAAGGTGAGCGTATCCTGCCCCACCCGCTGGCATCCGTCACAAACAGGTTATCTTTGTAACATGTGCACATTGTACAACACTGTTTTAGCGAAAGGTAATTTTGAGAAGCTTTCTTCCTGGAGAAGCTGACTTTGGGCATATTTTTTGTTAACATGAAATTATTTTAGTCAGCTCTATATTACGTCACACTGCATTGCAATGCCATAGAAAGGAACATGTTCAAGAGACGACCAACGCTATTGACTTTTCACATTATCTTTGGTAAACCTGAAAGTCAAAGCAAGGTATCTTTGTAATGCCTGTTCAGTTGATTAACATCCCACAGTAAAATGTACTTCAGAGAAGTGAGCCAAACTTATATATGGGAGTTACAACTTCAATGTTCTCAAATATGTAACGTAAAAGAATTTACAGACTCCATGATCTCCCGAAACAGATTCCCTTGGGCGCAAAAGGCAGACCATCTGTGAAAATTATATGAATGGGTCAATGAAAACCAGTGATGACACCAGGTGTTCGCGATAAGTGTAAGCATATCCGATAATATCACCCGGCACTCACACAATGTACATAGAGAAAGTAAAAGAAATGTTGAAAATAGAACTACATGTACCATTCTTGTAATGTACGGAATATCCTTATATTGCTTATACAGTAAACTACGGTTATAACGAACTTGAGGGGAGCACTAATTTTAGCTCGTAATAACCGTAGTTCGTTATAAGCATATATACAGCATATATACAACAAATGGTCGGGACTAAAAATAAGTTATATCCGTGAGTTCGGTATAAGCTTGTTCATTATAAACATAGTTTACTTATGCTAATCTATTACTGTTTCTAGTGTTGGAAGACGAGACACGGATGAAACATATCAGGATCGAATGATTGTTGTTTTGGGCGATTACAACATCTCCATCCCTGAAGTGTACAATAACGTTCCGCAGGAACAAGTCCGTCAAGTGAAGAACGTGTATTTCCACCCCTCATTCAAATACAACACAACGTCAACCTTCAACGACGTCTTGGTGGACTACAGCAACACCAACGCTCAAGAGCCGTTTCAAGGTATTCCTTCTGCGAATGTTTTTGAAACGTATCAGAGTCTTAACGTCTTTGACTGGCATCTACCATTATTCAACCATGTCTATATATGTATATCACTTATCAATTATCCACATGTATATAACCTTCCCCCTTCACATTTCAGTACCACTAGCTTGATAACGACGTTAGTGTCTACACTGAAACGTCGCATTAAGAAGTTGTCCATAGAACTATCTCCCTTGTATCGAAGGTTTATAAACATCGCATGGTGGCAAACATATGGAAGGGTTTGCATTGTTTCTCATCATGATACTGAAAACATTTTTATCTAAGAATTTTATTGCTTGGGTTTGGAAAAAGGGTGAACACAATAGTTTGCGCATCTTTATCGACCTCGTTCTTTTTCGGATAGCCATCAGCAACAAAGTGTTGGCTTTGTCAATACGTCCATAGAGTAAAGGTAGCGTTCAGTGACCTCAAATGACAGTTATAATTGTATTTGTACTATTGTTCTATTTGCAGCTAACGCTTTCTGTATGATTGAGTTAACTGAGCCAGTCGAGTACAATGATTGGGTAAGGCCAATATGTCTACCTAAACCAGATATTTGCAGCGAGAGCCAGTCCTGCCGAGTCACTGGATGGGGAATAACGGAAGACGAAAGTGAGTCACAATACCTACGTTGGTCAATATCATGTATTTCCAAGATGACATCCAGATGAAAAGAATTGTCAAAATCAACATTCAACCAAATTTCATGTAAACAAGTTTGTCTATAATGACAGTTTATAAAATTAGTACTGAGACAACGGGATAGTTTCTTTCAATCAATATTACGCCTCTTTGAGCAGTATTTCGTGTCATAACGGCGTATCAGTTTTATGTGAGCGGAAAGCCCTAAGCTTCCAAGACGTTCAGCATCTTGGTGGATTCCATGAACAGAGGTCTGGTTTTGCCAGATCAAGAATCATAAATTTTGGGTTTGAACCAACGCGATCCGGTATGACAAAGGGACGGAACTCTACATAAAGTGTCGTGGTGCCTTATGTCAATGGACCACGTGTTCCCATCTTCAATGGACAGGGAGGCCCGTGTGGTTCCGGTTAAGCATAGAGGCCCTATGAAACACGTGCTTGTCGTAAGAGGCGACAAAATGGACAAAACAAGAACAACAACAACAATGTACACAGTCAACAGGGTATCATTTACTCGTATATGAGGTGAACATTCATTGTTCAAAAGGCATTGCGCTGCAGTGGGTTTTTTATTTTCAGCCCTCAAGGACGTCCTTCAAGTCGCCTATCTGACTTCATTCAGCAAACCTGCATGTGAAGCTATTGATTATTATAGTACTGGAAACAACGCATCACTCCCGAGCAACACCAAGTGTGCCCAAAACGTAGCATCTACATATGCATGTGTGGTAAGAAGGATTCTCTAGTCAGGTAGTCATCTAACTTGACCTTACTGCTTGGCGTTGTCCTATTATTATCACATTATTCGTGGTCAGTCATATGGAACGATAACTAAAAATCTAAAAGCCAAGTACATTGTACCATTCCGACTATATAATAATGATGTGTTTACGAATCACTAGGAAATAGGTGATCAATAAAAGGTGAACGTACCCTACCAACCGACGGCACCCGTCACAAACACATTCAATTGCAAGTCAATTGATCACCCGAATAAACAATGGAATTCGTTTCACACAAGAACGTCAAAATCAGATTTTCAATCTAATCTTTTAAAATGTGAGACTGGAGGCATATGTGTACATAAACTACCATGGATGTGATTCATATGGAGCACGGATTTCTGACTACGTTCAAGTTGTATTTGACCACAGAAAATAGAACCACACATGTAACGCTTCTCTTCGTCTGTAGGTACTGGGGCAAAATAGCATATTGCAAGACGGGGATTTGGGAAATTAGCCGCGTGTGGGTGGAAATTAATTAATTTATTTGGCCTAATAAGATTTCTTAATCTTTTTATATAACCTAAAGTATTACTTTTACTGCTGTGAGCTTATATGGAACGCTACGGAGAATTAGTACCATCTGTGTACACTTTATGTTGTTCTAGGGTGACTTCGGTGGACCATTTGCCTGCGATGACTCCGCCAACAATTACAGAACGACTCTGCAAGGTGTGATGACAACCCGCATCCCGTGCCAGGGCAGTACCACGCTTGTATCGGACGTTCCTCTGGTAGTAAACTGGGTTTGGCAGACATGCACCAATGCCTTGTAAACACAGAGCACCTCCACGGTCTAAGGCATCTTCAAAGTCTTTCAGTGGGACAAAGGACAGATCGTAATTGAGATCAATGACGAAAATATCATTGTTAACATTGAACTTCTACCCATAAATTGTTTTCATTGAATTTGTTTCTTTTGTATACTTTTCAAGAAATATATCCAAACAATTTATTTTGTGGATTATCAAATTATTAGTGGTGTGTATTACCTTTTCAAGTACAATTAAAAGTAAGAAGTCATGATCAGAAGGTAAGAGTCCTCAAAAAGCAGATGTAAAATACTAAGTATGTATCAGTTTTTCGTAAATTAAACCAAATGACGTTTTTGAAAATATGTGTGTCAATTCTTTGCAGTTTTATCTGTTTTTGTGAATATGCACAACCTTGACAGAGACACCGTTACATCTAGGTGGTACCGTTTGCAATGAAATGGTCCGGTTGAACAAAATTCCAAAATGTACGAATAATTGGTATACGAGTCTATGGTGAATTGTTTGAGGATTTATCACGAAATGATCCACATTTTATAATATGCTTATTAAGTTAAGGGTTGAGGCCTAGACCTTCTTAAGAGGGCTGCGGTTTTGCATATACATGTACGCGTATTATTATGTAGATTTCATAACAGTATTCGTATAAATAAGTGCTTCAACGTATTTAAATAAGAATCCATGTTTCATTGGTTTACGGATTTGTTATAGATTGTTTGGTCAGTGGGTCGAATTATCAATAAAAATAAAATTAGACCCATGAATTTTCTATTTGTTTTAGTAAGATAATGTCGTCGGCAATGTGAGGATGTTTAGAAATATCCTCTATTTTTATAAGTGACAGTTTTGTGACATGTGAAATGAATGTTAAAGGTAACACCGTTTATAAATCCACTTGTAACGCCCCAGATTACATGCACTGAGTGAATGCTCAAGGCTCCACAGAATTATCACCTCAGGTTTTTGATTTCACTCAAATTTCACCAGAAGCCCCCTAAAGAGTATACCCATCAGTTCATAACACAAACTCGCTGAAAATAATCGAATGTGGACCAAACCAGTGATTGATGTTGTGAACAACGTTGTCGCCTTGGTCACAATGACAGCAACGACCCAGGTCACCAAATCTGACCATCCGATCTATTTAGTCGCCTCTTTCGACAAGTAGGTGAGGTAAGGTGAAATTGGGTTTAGCGTCGCGTCCAAGATTATTTCACTTATATAGCGACGTGCATGCACGTGTGTGTGTGGCTGCTTGTACTAGTCCAGACTGATGCCGATTAATAGTGCTAGCCCACTGAGATACCATGCCGCAGTTTAACATGAATACCACACTCAGACACAGTATACTGACTCCGAGCCGCGAGTCCTTGTTTTAGCCCCTTAATCCCGAGGGCCAGACAGGGTAACAACAAATACCATCTTTTAACGTCTTTTGGTATGACGCGGCCGGGGATCGAACCCCGGACCTTCCGCTCTCCGGGCGGACGCTCTACCACTAGACCACGGAGGCGGTCCTTTCGACAAGCAGATGGGGAATAATTCTAACCCGGAAAACCTCCCGGCTCCTCGGGTGGGCCATGGGACAACTCTCAGTTGCTACTAGCTGATGTAGTGTGTGATCATACCCCGACAAAGTGAATCAAAGGGCATAGGTTCAGTTCCGGGCATGCCCTGGTTGACCTGATCGGTTTGTTCTTTCTCAGAGATATTGCAGACCAGATTTTTAACTCACGAACAGATATTGCAGACAATAGTGTGTACTCCCGGACAAGTATTAACACAGTCAATGGGAGATGCTTAGTATCTAATGTCGCAGTTTGGTGGTAGACAATGTAGCCTGGAATGCCTTCGTCAATCCTGTCCGTCAATACACACTGCAGTCTGTACTTGTCAGTCCTACCTACATGCAAGTACACAGAGTACTATGTCCATCTATCTCTGTCACCGATATATCGGGGTAATCTGCGATATCTCTGACCGTGAATACACATTGTTGATCACTACACTGTACTTACGACAAAAGGCACACTCGATGTATACTCACGGACAGAGATACTTTGGGCTATTCCGGGCTACAGTGGGTATTCAAGAACAAATAGACAGGTGTTACAGACAACGCTTTATTACACACCTGTGGGTGAGAAACCCATTGCAGATAACTGACATCAAACATATGTGTGAGATCGAATTCCAGGCCAGTGAGTGATTACTTGTGGTCAGATTATGACCAGTTTCCTGATCGTAAGTCATTGATAAGTTACTCGAGCATCAGTCGAATGTTCACCTACATCTGTGTTGAACATATATGTCCCTCCTCTTCAACCCACACTTCGAAGTCGAAAGAAAAATATAAAATACATCACGCACCTCCACTGTCATTATACGCAAAGCAAATTCGTTGAAAGTGACCTCTGAAAATTAGGTACATCGAAAGTCACCATTCACGGCGTTATTTACTGTGTGTTTAGAAATTTAAATATCGGAAAGTTTACTCGATGGATTGAATTTCAAAAACAGTATATCAGTGTTCACGGGTACCTGGTTTTCATCAAATCGCCAATAGCAATTCTGAAACGTCACCTTTAATCCTAGAATCGTTTAGAATGTTTTGGAAAATATGCAAACAAAAACGCTGAAGTCTGCTCTCCGCTATGTTGATAGTCTTGACAAAATCACGTTTCACGCATGCCGGTTATGAGACGCCATAAGATCACGCATATTTCAAACTGAGCTGCGATTGATGCATTGCTGAATTCCTCATATATATATTAGAATCAAATGACAAATGGTCTTTGTCACAAATATAAATAATCTGGATAAAATCAAGCGAAGGAAATTACGTGTGGAAAGAACACTGTGCTCGGAAAACTATACAACTGTACTTGTTAAAGTGTAAACAAAGCAAAATTCAGATTTTACTATGTGTAGAATTTTCTCCTATTTTTAGATATTCATTCGTCTAATTGTTGCATACTTTGGCTTGCGTTTTTGAGGATATTCATATGGAGAGTATCGTAGAACGAATTGTGGAATTAAAAATATAAAATTATACATTTCAATGATCAGGTAATTGTCTGTGAGTCTATGCACGATGTGGATGTGTTTACAGATAAAGGGCTTAAGAAGATCAACAAACCTTTCAAAGTCAAGGTTATCTCAAAAACATAGTTAAAGATAAACTATATGATATCCAATCATGGACAGCTGCGAGAGATAAATTTTCCAAAGGATCCATGTATAAAATTGTAACAAATGAATGTTTAAATTTTGAAAACTATTTCATTAATACATATGGAGACGTTTGGAAAATTTACTTCAGTTCAGAACATCTACACACAATGTACCAGCTGATATAAGAAGATGGAGGAAAATACCCTTTAACTGAAAGAAAATGCCTGCTCTGCCAATTGTATGACATAGGTGATGAATAGGTGTGTCCATTTGAAAAAGAGAGAAAACAATTCATTCATAAATATTACTATATAAAACCTAACATGTATACAATTAATTTACTTTTTAATAGCCGAAGATTAGGAATATTAAGAAAACTATCTCAGTTGTGTAAAATTATCATAAAAGTTTAAACCCGGAATGAATATTTCATAGATGTTCGTACAAATGTACAGTTGTGATCCGTTCCTGATCCGACTGCTCGGAAAAGATGTTTATGATAATGTAATAGTGTTTTCAGTTCAGTCGGAACTACTTCACCTGGACTGGCCATTATAGCATTTTAAACATTTTAACTTAACATGCATTGGTTAAACATGAACTACGGTAACGAAATTGATGAGCGGTACTCCTTTGTACTCGTTCTATCTGCCTGGTTCCGGGAGCCAAACCCCGTGTCAATGAACCGTGTCTGGGCCCTCACTGGTCCCGGGAGCACCACGGTCAGTTTTCCTCCTAAATATCACATTTGGCGGTCGCGGACACAAACAGAGTGGGAAATAATAGGCTACATACCCAGTTTACTTATGGACAGAGATAGACTGAGATGTGGCTCCCTCCACTATGTACTCGCGGACAGAGATAGACAGTCACTAAACAAGTGCATCATACAGTGTGTTTTCACTGATCGAGGTTTATGGGGTGAGTAATGCAGAGAACAGTGTGTATTCACTGATCAAGATAGATTTACTCACGGGCACACATGGAATAAGTAATGCAGAGAACAGTGTGTATTCACTGATCAAGATAGATTTACTCACGGGCACACATGGAATGAGTAATGCAGAGAACAGTGTGTATTCACTGATCAAGATAGATTTACTCGCGGGCGGACATGGAGTAAGTAAAGCAGAGAACGTTGTGTATTCACTGATCGAGATAGATTTACTAGCGGGCACACATGAGTCGAGTAATTCAGAGAACAGTGTGTATTCACTGATCGAGATAGATTTACTCGCGGGCACACATGGAATGAGTAATGCAGAGAACAGTGTGTATTCACTGATCAAGATAGATTTTCTCGCGGGCGGACATGGAGTAAGTAAAGCAGAGAACGTTGTGTATTCACTGATCGAGATAGATTTACTAGCGGGCACACATGGGTCGAGTAATGCAGAGAACAGTGTGTATTCACTGATCGAGATAGATTTACTAGCGGGCACACATGGGTCGAGTAATGCAGAGAACAGTGTGTATTCACTGATCGAGATAGATTTACTCGCGGGCACACATGGAATGAGTAATGCAGAGAACAGTGTGTATTCACTGATCAAGATAGATTTACTAGCGGGCACACATGGAGTAAGTAATGCAGAGAACAGTGTGTGTTCACTGATCGAGATAGATTTACTAGCGGGCACACATGGGTCGAGTAATGGAGAGAACAGTGTGTATTCACTGATAGAGATAGATTTACTCGCGGGCACACATGGAATGAGTAATGCAGAGAACAGTGTGTATTCACTGATCAAGATAGATTTATTCGCGAACGGACATGGAGTAAGTAAAGCAGAGAACGTTGTGTATTCACTGATCGAGATAGATTTACTAGCGGGCACACATGGGTCGAGTAATGCAGAGTACAGTGTGTATTTACGGACAGAGATAATGCTCATGATCCCGATAGACTGAAATATTGCACTATGTATTCGCGGGCAAAAATAGACTTATTAATGCTGACTACACTGTGTATTCACTGAGCGACATCGACTGAGCTATGGCAGACTGCAGTGTGTACTCAAAGACAGAGATATTGCTAACGACATTGTGTACTCACGGAAAAGATATTCCAGAATACAGCATGTTCCTAACAAACTTCGATATCAGCGACAAGTTCCGAGATGCATGTCCCTTTGATTTTTATCAGTGCTCATTTGACCACATTCATGCATGAGAAATGCAATACACCACAGAATCGTTTTCATACAATAACACTACGATCAACAAAGACATGAGCATATTATGTTCAATAATTTATCGGACATTTGACAACAATATTCGGGGTAATGGCCAGTAGATGTGTCACATTAACGTAGTTCATCCAAACTTGGGACATGTGCATCTACCATCCACCCATTTGCCAATAAAATCCATTTGAAGGGAAAAAAAACACCTCTATCATTCCAAGCCAAAGTGCATTTTATTAATCACAATTGATGGAATTATTTAATTTGACCACGTGTCACATTTCGGTGACACAAAACGGTAATACAAAAGGATTGTCCAGTCGAGTCTTGTCGAACATCTGAGTCCATCCCCTGCTGGGATCCCACGCGGATACATGGTACTATGGAAATACGTTGCTGATCAAATCACTGCTGATTTCTTCAATATCAATGATCGTATTTGTACCACGCCTGGCCCCATTGCATGTACCGTTCTGTATGATTCCCTTAAGTACCCAGCGATCTTCCTCATCTTGACACATCACCATGCCACCCTCATCTCCCTGTAACAAACACATGGGGGAAACATTTAGTGAACATTCAGTCTTTTAATGGCATTTAGAAGTGATGCACATAAGGAACAGAATTTATGAATGTCAACGTCGTTATTATGAGGAACACATTGTTTCAGAATATATACTTTTTGAACATTTATTCACATGATGAAAGAGTAAGAATATACTCCGAAACGTCGTGTTCCTCATTAATTCTCTCCCTCATTCAACGAAGGATTGCACATTATTTTCCCGAGTGAATGAAAATAAAGCTTGTGACTAACAGCATTCACCCACTAGAGAAACATAACCCATAGTTCTGTCAATATGTTATCCATTATTTATATTTAAATCAAATATTAAAAACAAAATGTAAAAACAAAATTAAAAACTCCTGATGTCGTAGGCTTATAAATAAATCTGTTCTCACCATTAAGTACAAATATCTATCTTGACAGTGGTAACAAAAGTTTTTTGTATCAAAATTGGTAAGAGTGGAATGACATAACCCGTCCTCAGCTACACAATAGACACGGAGGACATTCCAAACTTAAGAAATCAGTGACAAAAATGATGTCCGCCTTTTCAGGTGAAACAATTGAAAGCATGTGTTTGTGACAGATGGGCAGGATATGTTCACCTATAAGCAACACCTAGTGGCATCAGTATTTGGTAGTGATTCACCAACACATGTTTATGATATAGTCGCAATCGAGCAACGGACGCTGATTAGAGCAGTGATTTCTTATGATTGTGGGGAAAAAATGTCAATCGTAAGTACATACACACGACGAGAAAGACTGCCATGCATTTAAAAAAATAAGATGACCTTTCATGTCTCAATTGTGTTATCGGTATATGAAGATCTAGGCAGGTGTGGGTAAGAACGTTTGGTGCCGTTAACCATACCAACTTCACTAAGGAATGCCCTTAAAGGGATCTACTGCTAAGAAATATTAATACGATATTAATCCGAAAGGCTTCAAGTCTTTGACTTGCATAAAGAAGTGATACACATAGGAGAGAGAATTAATGTATGCTTACTCCTTCATGTGGTGTAGACACCTGATGAAGGAGTAAGCATATACTCCGAAACGTTGTGTGACTCATGATAAAGAACTTGATGTCTCAATGTGCAAGCATCGCATGAACGTCATACTGGAAAAGGAAAATCAGTGAACATCATAGGAGTGAGTGAGTGAGTGAGTGAGTGAGTGAGTGAGTGAGTGAGTTGGGTTTAACGCCGCTTTTAACATTATTCCAGTTATATCACGGCGTGTCAGCTTATTGTGGAAGGAAAGCCCGAAGTGATGCAGTTATCAGTCGTTTACCACAATCATCGGTTTCTGGCGTGACCAAGGGACGCAACTCTGCACAGCGAATCACGGCACTTTAAACGACTGGGCCACCCGTGTGTCCTTCATAGGAAGGAAACACTGAGGGTTTGCTGACGCTCAGAAGCTGTGACGTCACTGCACCTCGATATTCATCTTAAGTGTACAAATGAGCTATCCTTGATATGTGTGTGATATCCTTCTTTTTTTCCTTACCTCGCACGCGTGAACATTATCACTACCCACGTTGGTACAGAAGGTTCCTTCAGGCTGCGGCATATTTCTGCCAAAGTCGATGCTGTTGACAGCTGTACATACTGCGGGATTAAACACAGTCACTCGTCCAGCACCCATCGCTCCTGAGAAAAGACACGAACGTGTCGTTTAAATTTCATTGTATATATAGTGATGCCTTGCTAATCCAACGTAATGAACGAATTTACGAATAAACAAATCATTGTAACTGAGTACACATGGGTCAGTATGGTTTCTGGGTATGATTTAAGCACTATTCCAGCAATATCACGATAGTAGTCACCAGAAATGGGCTTCACACAATGTACGCATGTGGGACGTGACGACCGCCTCCGTGGTCTAGTGGTAGAGCGTCCGCCCGGAGAGCGGAAGGTCCGGGGTTCGATCCCCGGCCGCGATAAACAAAAAGACGTTAAAAGATGGTACTTGGTGTTACCCTGTCTGGCGCTCAGCATTAAGGGGCTAAAACAAGGACTGGTCGGCTCGGAGTCAGTATACTGTGTCTGAGTGGGATAGTCATGTTAAACTGCGGCATGGTATCTAAGTGGGCAAGACTATAAACACGCATCAGTCCGGACTGGTAGAAGCAGCCACACACACACACGTGCATGCACGTCGCTATATAAGTGCAATAATCTTGGACGCGACGTTAAACCCAATTTCACCTCACCTCACATCTATGGCGTGACGAACAAACGATTGCCACTTTGGTGACACCCCACGTACAGGATTGGGGTTCATGAATCTAAGGGTCATATTCAGACCGAATCTGGAATTCCACTTCACGATCAAGATCCTGCCATGTCAAAGGGACGCAACTACACACAACGGATTGCAGCTCATTCGAAGACTAATACCAAGTGGTAAACGTCATCACATCTGGCTTTCCGCACACATTATGAAGTGAGGTGAAGTGGTGTTTTACTGTCGCGTTCAAGATTAAAGCACTTACATAGTGACCTGCATGCATATGTATGCGCGGCTGCTGGTACTAGTCTGGAATTATGCTGGTTTTATAGTTCTCGCTCACTGAAATACCATGCTTTAGTTTAACATGGATACCTCACTAACAGATAACTCTGACTCCGAGCCGGCCAGTCAATGCTTTAACCCCTTAATGCCGCGCGCCAGGCAGGGTAACAACAAGTACCATCTTGTAACGTATTTGGGGATGACCTGGCCAGGAGATCGAACCACCGACCACTGACCTTCCGCCTGACGGCTTGGGGTACATGCGCTCACACACAGGGTACATATCACACCATATGCCCCTCGAGATCGGTTGAAAACATATACCTACCATCATTCGTTAATCTGTAGAGTTGTTCATCTGGACGATATCACCGGGAACGCCAACATCGAGAATTAAAGGTTTTACTCTTCAAGAATAAGAAATTTAAAGTCTATTCATCGACGAGAGAATCTGAGTAGGTTTTCTAACGCCTGACTCAAATATTCCAGACCAAGCCACCGACTCGAACCAAATCTAACCCGGAATCCCCACGGGGGTGTTGAGGGTGGGGGTGGTGAGGGTGGTGGTGTCGGTGGTGTAGGTTGTGGAGTGGATATTTGAAACTGATTTCATAATGGTCTTGTTTGGCATGTCACACACCAAATTCACCCGGCCTGTAAGAAGTAATACGACCGTTATAATTTAGGTATCCCTACCATCTGACGCTCCTGCCATGAAACATTGGTTTTCATTCACTACGGTACTTTCATCCGGCAGACAAGCAGGGAGCACTTGGATGCTGTAGTCTTCGACTTCATCTACCAGTTTAGCAACGACAAGGTCGAGATTCCCTGCAAACCAAATGCGCATCTTCAGCAATCGGTCATACATACATTAAATTTTCAATTTGTATCATTGTGTAAAATTGATTCTAAAAGGGCGACAATTTCCTCTTTTGACCGCCACCCCTGGAAGATAAAACTGTCAATCAGAATCAATATCGGCGATATATCGGTAGTCGGGAACTAAGGTTCAGTCGGTATATTGTCGATTATCCCAATGACTTTGATCATATCACATGTATCATTTTTACATAATATTATCTTAAAATAAATCATTGAACATTAATATCGATTCATGTGTATATTGTATTTAGGTGTGGTTTACAGATCTTTCAAATACGACAATATACCAGTGGTTTTAACGGAAGAAATCGCTCATTGTGTGTAGACATTGACTTAAATAATTAAGCCAATTTACAAAACTCAATGCCATCACCAACCCGCATCATACGTGGTCATATCGATGTCGACCCTTTTCAGTGTCCCTGATGGGAACGCTGTGGTAGAATGAAGACCAGTGATGTTGCAAATTCCAACGGCGGCGTACAGTTGAAGGCTTGCGCCAATTCTGTGACGGAAGAATCCGAGTATTATGAAGACATGTTTCCTTTCTTAACTGATATCTATTAATTCAATCGAATTCATACTTCAACATAATTTTAGGCCTCAGTAAAACATTCAAGAATTTTACGGTACCAAGTGGACGACATTTCCAAATTTGACGCATCAGTGAAAAAAATATGTCTGATGCGATGCCCTGAACCATATGTTCCCGTAGTATTTTTTCAGGTGTACAATTGAATTCATTTGCCTTGTCATGAGTGCCACCGGTAGGGCAGGATACGCTCACCTTTTAGCGACACCTGGTATGATAGTGATTCATCAACACATGCTCATGATAAAGTCGGAAGCGTACAATCGATTCTGCTTTAACAGAGATTTCTTGTGCCTATGAAACGGTTTTGTCGCTATTATTTGACAAGAAGACACGTGGTAACGATCAACGTTTGCAAGGATTTGAAATTTGGGTATCAACGTGTACTAGGCGATGTCCAACCTCTCGCCCACGAAGATTTAAACTTTATATATTAAACATTTGTCGCGCTTACATTCATCAAATTAGTTCAGAAACGAATGTCCTTGATTGTCTCCAGTTCCCACTGTGTACACGTACACACCACATACATTACCCCACACCGACTGACATTGGTAAGTCTTGAATGTTTGCCTCTTTTTGTTTTGACAGATTCTCGTGTCCCAATAGATATCCCAACATACGTTATTAATACCTAAAGCTTTGGCGTTTCGAGCATTTCGATGTAATGATAACGTTACCACTATGCAATTATGCTGAACAGGTACAGAAATTCAATTTGACGCAAGTTGCATTGCACGCATTGTCTTGATACGCACAAGTCATGCAATATTGTCATCTGGGACACGTTCCACAAAGTGATCTTAGAAATGTGAGGCAAGTTCCATTGCACGCATTGTCTTGATACGCACAAGTCATACAATATTGACATCCGGGACACGTTCCACAGAGTGATCTTAGAACAACGGCTGCTGTAGAGCTGTGTTAAAGAAAGTTAATCTAATCTTTGCAATAAGACTACTTTGTGTAACGGAACCCTGTACTCATAGAAGTCGATGATGCCTTATGGTAGCATTATCTTAAATACTTACACGGGCTCCACGAAGGATCTTAGGGTGATGAAATGCTGCTTGGAGACCAGGACGCCGCTACACAGGGGCTGGATGCTGCCCCCTCGGCCCAGGAGTACATGGACCATCCAGGGCCAAGCACATGAGAAATCATCCGGACTTAATGGATGAGTGTTCAAAACCCTTGGGGTCATAGGTAAGGCATCAAATCCACAAACTGCAAACAAACAATTGCATCATGGCAGGATTTTAATTAATTTTAATTAATTGTATCTGCTTTAGAGAAGGATCACACGAAATATAATTGAAGTATTTGTACACACACACACACACACACACACACACACACACACACACACACACACACACACACACACACACACACACACACAAGCCCCCCCAAAACACACACACACACACACACACACACACACACACACACACACACACACACACACACACACACACACACACACACACACACACACCACACACACAGAGATATATATATGTGTGTGTAGGTACAGCTCGTGTCTTTTTCAGATGTTGGTGCACAGTTCATGAACACAAGACTTTAAAGCATTTCCAGATATTTCAAACCTTGTGGTATTAACACCAGCAATGACGTAGTGGTTTCTGTTAAGAATTTCAAAATAAACTGCCGGGCAAAAGTTACATTCGTCAACAAAATGTTATGGCTCTAAAACAGTCGCCGAAGCACTGCAAACTGGGGTTCAAAACACAACCATTATAGTCGTATCAAGCGGCATGGGTTGAGTCCGGTGTTTTGAGTGGGTTGTCGATCTGAATTACGATATCACCGACAACAGATTGCCAGGCATATGACAGGCATTGAAAGCATTTAACACGGCAACTTCGTAAGCTGACATGAGGTGGGCACCCAAAAGAAAACACCGTATTGTGGCGCAAAAGGTATGTCGTCACAGCCGCATATAGAAAAAGCCCCAAAGCTCTCTGTTGACCCCCAAAACTTAACATACATTCTCTTTGTAGATTTCTATCGTGTTATCTGCACGAAATCTAATGCTACACATCCTTTGACTATTGAAGTAACCGCAACTTGCATATTATAACCTGTAATTGTAGATATAATTATGTAACTATTCCTGCCGACAATGACTGAAACAAAGCACCATTCTATGAATATTAGCTTCCGCTGTGATGCGACCGTTTCAATCAGAGGGGGTTTATTGTGATTTGATAACCTCTGATTGACCACAATCAGAATCGAGTAATTTCCAACTTCATGATAGAATTTCTTTTGCCCGGCAGTTTATAACCGCAAACATATAGACTATAACCGTAAACTTATAAGTATTTCAACCAAATATTTACAAAACTTGAAGTACTAAATCAATGACTATGTTAGTTTACATTAAAGAGATCTGTACTGAGGATATAGTTTTAAATTAATATTTATTTCTGGATAGCCAGCATTTTGAAAATGATTTAAATAGGGCATGAACATATGGCAGTCATAAAGATTCCTGGTTGGGCATTGGGATGAGTGAACTAAAGCAAGTCACCTCTTGATGGTTGAATTGCTGTGGTAACAGGTTCAGGTGTGGTTGTCGTTGGAGGTGTTGTTGTCGCTGCTGTCTCACAGCAGAACGCCCCGGAGTAGCAGTATGGGAACCCCTGATCCTTTGTTACAGACGGCCCTGGACATTGTTGCTGGCAGGAAGATCCAGGGTAAAGCACGCTGCATATCTCTGCAACAGGATATGTTTGATAATAATAATAATAATAATAATAATAATAACAACAACAACAACAACAACAACAACCACGACGACGATGATGATGATGATGATGATGATGATAATAATAACCTAATAGTGTGTGTGTGTGTGTGTGTGTGTGTGTGTGTGTGTGTGTGTGTGTGTGTGGCAATACAAACAGTTCACTTGGTGGTGGTGGTGTGTGCGTGGGGGGGGGGGGGGGGGGGGGGAGGGTGGGGGGGGCTTGCTGGGTATTAAATCTACCCAGAATTAGCGAGTGGATGTCGGATAGTAAGATAGTATACTACACTACACTATACTATAACGATAATAGTTTTACCCACAAGTAGCGACGTCTTACCCGGCTCAAACCCCATCTTATCATTCAATGTATTCCTTGACTTGTAGTAATAATATGTTGGCTTTGAACGTCTATATTACGATTAATTCTATATCAGGGGGCAGAAACGCCTGTGATGCGGGTCATTAATGTGTACCGCGTTGGTGAAACCCACGAGCACGGGTATAGTGCTGTGACAAAACCTAGAAACATACTCAGGGCGAACCGGGATTCGAACCCACAATCATAGCTTTCTTGCACGCCTGAAGAATGTAACTCTGCACAGCGCATTGCGATGCCAAAGACGATTTGTCAACCCATGACCTCAGGAAAAGCGTCTTTCAGACCAACATCATATACAAAGCTTACTCACCAGCGCCATCTGCCCCCCGGTAAATCATGCACATCGACACTAGCACTGGCAGCAGATTCATGTTGAACTTGAGAGGAAGCTTCAACGGTAAATGTTTGACATTTCCAACTATCAAATATATACCATTTCAAAAGTGACTCAGTAATGTTAAATTCAAAGGGTGACAAAACTTGATAGTCTAAGCTTGAAATAATATAAACGGACGCATGTCTAGATGTCTATAGCACCAAGTTGTGAAAGCCTCGCCTTGTATTAGAAACAAAAGGATGACGGGGCGGTGTTACGACGGATTGTTACCTAATCAGACTGCACTCTTAGATAAGCAAGTTCCATCCTTTGTGTGCGGCTGTCCATGATGCTATCCTTTCCGTGTCTTTGATAAGGAAAACTGTCTTTTGAAAAAGTCGCAATTAAATTTACGTGTTTGCAGTGATATATAAGGAGGTTTGTTTGTGTTTTAATGCAAAACGGCAAAGATGGCCCTACGTAACCTTGTGCTGTTGGTTGGTTTGGTCTCTGTGACAAGTGCTGCCTTCAGTAAGTATACGGCGTAATTTGTCAAAGCAGACAATCCGTTAGTCCAGTTTTAGAGCGAGATCCAGGTTAGTGAGAACATGGCTGTGGTATCTTTTACGAGCTTTAATTTCCTACTAAGTTTATGTCCTGAGTTAAATAAGTTTCATTTTGCTTGGGTAATGTACTGTACTGCGTTGTCCTAAAATTTACGGCACCTTATGTAATTATTGATGCCGATGTGCTCACCTGATGTAGACCCGTGACGATCCGGGTTAGAATAGGTCTTCAGCAGCACATGCTTGCCGTAATAGGTGACTATGCTTGTCCTAAGAGGCGACTAACGGGATCAGGTGGTCAGACACGCTGTCTTGGTTGATGCATGTCATCGTATCCCACTTGCGTGGATCGATGCTCATGTCAGTCACTGGGTTGTATGGTCAAGACTCGATTATTTACAGACCTCCGTCACATAGCTAGAATATTGCTGAGTGCGGCGTTAAACAACAAACAAACAAAGTAAACCTGATTTGGAAGATGGGGTATGTTAGGGAGAGTCAAATACAGTAAAGTACGGTTATAACGAACTCAAAGGGACTACTAATTTTAGTTCGTTATAACCGTAGTTCGTTATAAGCATATATACAGCATAACTACAGCAAATAGTCGGGACCAAAAAAGTATGTTCGTTATATCCGACAGTTCGTTATAAGCGTGTTCGTTATAACCGTAGTTTACTGTACATGATAAATTGGCCCTTTGTCTAAGTACATACGGGCGGAGCGGTAGCCTAGTGGTTAAAAAGCGTTCGCTCGTTACGCCGAAAAGCCGGGTTCGATTCCTCTTAAAGGGGACAATGTAAAGCCCATTTCTTGTGGCCCCGGCGTGATATTGTTAAAAGTGGGGTAAGAACGTACTCACTCACTCACTAATGGCGTATGCCCAGGACCTTGTTAAGTCGGAATCGTACTTGACGATGTATGAACGAAATAAATTCGGGATCGATATCCGGATTAGTTAGAGTACAATTTTGACCAAATCCAATGGGTTCGTCTTTCTCTGAAAGTTTTGTCACGCACTGGAAGTATGTGTGCCGGGTCTAGTTAAACATTCAATTTCGTTGTCTGGTTCTAGTAATTTCCAATTCCAGTTTCGTGTGTGAAATTAATTAATATAGGGTAATCACTAAACGCCGAGTCAGCAAAATACAAACGTATGTTAATTTGTTACTAGAATCAAACGTAGTCTGCTGTTTGCCCAGTTTCTCCTTCAGAATGTAATTAAAATAATGTATCAGCGAGTGAGAAAGTAAGTGAACGTATAAAGCCACGATAAAAAGTCCCAGCTAAACTGTCGGGCAAATGAATGTATACACCCATGTTTATTTGTTTGTTTGTTTGTTGTTTAACGCCCCACTCAGCAATATTCCAGCTATATGACGGCGGTATGTAAATAATCGAGTCTGGACCAGACAATCCAGTGATTGACATCATGAGCATTGATCCACGCAATTTGGATCGTTGACATGTATCAACCGAGTCAGCGAGCCTGACCACCCGACCCCGTTAGTCGCCTTTTACGACAAGCATAGTCGCATTTTACGGCAAGCATGGGTTGCTGAAGACCGGAATCTTCACGGGTCACCCCCATGTTTATTGGTAGCTAAAATTAAACTTACAAAAAATTGTTATTTATAGTTGATACGGGTATCATAATTGCGCTTTTGGAACTTTCGTTTGCAATGTTTCGGCGACTGTTTTCAGCCAAGTAACATTTATAAACAATTATCATAACCAATTTTCAAGTTTATTCATTTTCTTGCCCGACGGTTTATATCGCGACATCGTCACGATATGGCTGAAATATTGCCGATGTGACCTTAAACTTTAACTCACTTACTCACTTATATCGCGACAGCCTGTAACTAATTCAGTTAATCAGTGCTGGAAAATTATGATAACTAGGATATTCCATGTGTCTCGTGAAATGTCATGTTTCACTCGACACATGAAATATCATCTTAGACTATATATGTCATACTCAACGTTCAACACTCAACTGAATAATCCACAAAGTAGTCCCCCATTCGTGACAAACTCGTGTCATTCCGGGACAAGCCGAAGAGCGACTCGTGCCCCTCTCGTGTCCATTTTGGCGACTTTGTTCTGTCGAAGCGCATATGGGCATAGCTAAAAGAATTGTAATGATCCACGTATATTTCCCCCATATATCAAATAAAATTCCAGATTCTATTCAAAACACATCGAAACTTATGGTATTATACAGTATGACTGAGCATGTTTAACTGTATTTTGTTTGGGTTTAATTTTCGATGCAAGACATATGTAAAATCTAAACTTATTCCTGAGGGATTCTTTGACCGAAGTACTTGAAGCCATCCTGATTGGGTTGCAGTATTTTCTCACATAACATTTATCGATTTAGGGACGAGTCTACTGCAGATTGCGGAAAGGGGCGAGTGGGGACGAAAGATAATCCCTTTGACAAAAATATGCAGGCAACACGATTGTACAGACGTTAGACAACTCATACAATATATTGAAAACAAGATGGTGGTTTTCGACAAGTTGGAGCAAATCAACAACACTTCCATGCTGTTTGACACTCATAAACTATCGGAATAATTTGAAAACCAGGTGTCTTGATTCGAAAACGTATCACCGTCTACACGTGCGAGTGGACCCTCTTCCGATAAGCGATAACGTTATAACACTATATCCATCACGTTAATACATTGTCAGCTATTTCTGCCTGTGGCATTTCCTTCACATTCCACAGAGCCCTCAATCAGACCAAACCATTGTACAGTCGGTGATCCTTCAACAAATGTGTGAGTACATGTTCAATATTCTTTGAAACGAGGTTCTGTCTCTTTCAGACTGGTGCCGGATCTTCCACGAGGGCTCCGAATGCGTCTCTTCCTGTCCACCTGGTATAACGCCACATGATCAGGGCAAAGCCCCTTCATCTTTGTGTGACGATGGATTTAGCTGTTGTGGCGTCACCCCTGGGGAGCCAGTTGTTGACCCCAGCGACCAAACTACCTCTGGTGAGGACAATATACTGGTTATTTACACTGAACATGAAACCTTTATTGTTAAGAGAGTGAGTTATGTTTCGCTGCTTTTAGCAAAATTCCAGCTGTATCAAGGCTAGGGACACCACAAACGGCTTCACATGTTGTACCTATGTGGGGTATTTTGAATTATTTGAGTGTGTCAGTCAATGGCTTATTACACGCTTTTATTCCGGCCTTTAAAATAATGTCCTGATCCGAGTGTTGATCAACACCATTGGTATTTTTGTTTGATGTTTAACGCCACAGACAGCACTATTCCTGCCTGTAACTTGTCGAGTCTGGATTAGAGAGAGAAGTGTGAATGATTTTATGAGCAACGACCCACGCTGTCGGGGCTCGATGACTCGGAATCTACCATTCGCCGAGCCTGACCACCTGGCCCATGTTCATACGACAAGCTTAGGACCTATTGTGACCCCGATTACCCACGCCGCTGGGTTGCGATGACCAACCAGATCTGACATTATGGCCACAATGATCTCAGTTTGCACTTACGAGAAACATTGAGTGGAAATGACCTATTCTGACGCAGAATCAAAATGTGATGATTCAAGTTTAAATATGGATATCAGATTATAAATTATTCAATTGTCTCGTACATAGCATGAGTAGATCTGCCTACGTAATTTGCTCACGATCGCATACATTTCTATTCAAACTGCTTGTGTTGTTTGTTCTTACTCAAGCCTTTAAACAATAAATTATTATGCCATCGTTTTCGTATATGTTTAGGTCATAAGTTCAATTGATAGCTATGTATTAGTTAGTGATGAAATATTTTATTTAATTGAGGGGCGATGGGGGAGCCCAGTGGTTAAAGCGTTCGCTCGTCACTCGGAATGCCAGGTTCGATGACCCACATGGTACTATATGTGGAGCCCATTTCTGTTGTCCCCCTCCGTGATAATGAGATATTGCTACAATCGGCGTAAAACCATATTCACAGACTCAGTATTTATCTGAGTATATGAAATCGATACTTAACTCGTTCAATAACACGTCATACCAGGACTAGCTTTATTTGCATCAGTCAGATGTTAGAGTAGGTCAATAGGAAGTCATCCCGATCGTCATCTTAAATAACTCATCTCATTACCAGGGACCTTGCTTATAGTTTCTCTCTTTCTGCACCACTCGTGAAAATATCAATATCAGGTCACTGGATGCGAAAACATATCATCGGACAATATTAGTTTAGTATCCTCGAAATACATTCAGATTCCTTGCTTGACTTGTTCAGATGCCGACGTCTGTGGCCTGGTTGCTGGAAGAACAAGACGATCAATTGGAGGTAGTGCTGCAACTCGGTGCTCGTGGCCCTGGCTTGTGTCAGTCAGGTTCAGTTCACCTGTATTCACCAGCTCTCATGTCATGAACGCAGTTCTTGTTTCCAAAGAGCATCTTCTTGTTGATAAAAACACATTCGATATCTACAAAACTATCACGTAAGTAACTATATTTAGTTATTATGTTTGTGGTTTAACACCACACTCAGCAATATTCCACATGTATGACGGCGGTCACTAAATAATGGAGTCTGGGCCAGACAATCCAGGGATTGACATCATGAGCATCAATCTACGAAATTAGGATACGATGACATACATCAACCAGATCATCGAGCCTGACCACCCGATCCCGTTAGTCGCCTCTTAAGACAAGCATAGTCGGCGGCGCAACACAATATTAGTAATCCAGTTAAGGATCAGTGTGCACTCATTATCAGCTCCCTGGGGAGTATCATTTTGCGTTGTATATATGTTTAACTTAACAGTCTTATATACCTTAAATATTACCACTGCCGCTTATGTTAAAGACACTGCCAACTCACACACTTAACTCATTGAGAGTTAATGAATAAATATTATGTGTATGTTTATGACATCCATGTACCTCTTGTACCACAGGCCCCGTGAAGATCCGGGTTGGAATTGGTCTTCAGCAACTCATGCTTGTAAGAGGCGACTAACGGGATCGGGTGGTCAGGCTCGCTGGTTGATGCATGTCGTATCCCAAATTGCGTAGATCGAGGCAATCACTGGAGTATTTGGTTCAGACTAGATTATTTACAAATTGCCGTCGCTGAAATATTGCTGAATGCGGCGTTAAATAACAAACAAAAACAAACAAATGTTATGGTGCGGTCTTGGTGTGACAAGGTTCAGTTCGAATGTCATTGAACCCTCCTCTACTGGGTCACTGACGACCCGGTGGTCGATTCGATGTGCAAACTTCCATTCCTTAGCTGTGTCAGGATCCGCTTCGCACGGTTTCTGATCCCAAATTCAACACCATGCACAATCCTCTATGTGTCATCCATGCAATTGTTGCATAAGGGAGTTACACGTCTACAGCTGCATCAGTTGGGGCTTTCCAAACTATATAACGATAATATTGCCAATCGCGACGGTTACCCTTACTCACTGTCATGTGTTTAACATATACATGTATTCAATTAATGTTTTCAGATTTGGAGCACTTGAAGCATACTTTGGAGACTACTTCATAAATATGGATGGCGATGAAGATGAGAAAATGACGATAGATCTGGAAAACCCAGAGAATATTGGTAGAAGTTATTAATATAATAATGGCATTACTTTTTCATGCATGCAAGTTTTTCAAACAAACAAACATAATAATTAAAGACGTATTTACAGATTTAGAGTATTAAGTGGTTTCACCAATAAATGGTATCTCATTATTTAAATCCATGCAACGTTTATGTTACAGAACAGTCAGGTTTGGTGATTCTGAAACTAACCAACGAAGTAAACGTGTCGCCTTGTGTCCGTCCCGTATGTACATCTAATACAACAACTGATCTGGACATGAGTGCCTGCAAAATGGTTGGCTGGGGACGCAGAGGTTTGTTTGTTTGTTTGTTTGTTTGTTTGTTTGTTTGTTTGACGCCGCACTCAGCAATATTCCAGCTATATAACGGCGGTCTGTAAATAATCGAATCTGGTCCGGACAATCTAGTGGTTGACATCATGACCATTGATCTACACAATTAAGATACGATGACATGCATCAACCAAGTCAGCGAGCCTAACCACCCGATCTCTTTAGACGCCTCTTACGACAAGCATGGATTGCTTAAGGCCAATTGTAACCCAAATCGGTAATGTAATGAAATTTGCTTTGCTTTCTTTGTTAGATGTTTTCTTCTCAACAAAAACAAGTCTAAACGTTGTTTAGAAATGAAAGTTGATATTATCAATATGAAACTGACCAGGTAAACTTGAGAGCAAAGTGACGTTTCTATGCATACACTCGGAAAGGACTTCGAAAGAATCATCACTGTCATAGTTATACATATTGAGGGTATGGACTAAAACATATGCAGTAATTAAGTTTTGTTACTTTATACTTGTTTTCATGTAGTTATTAAGGAGTGACCTAGTGGTTAGAGTACTCACTCGTCTTGCCACAGACCCGGATCGGTTACCTACATGGGTACAGTCTGTGAAGCCCATCCTTGGTGTACCCTGATGTAACATTGCTAGAATATTGTCCCCTGATGTAACATTGCTGGAATAATGTACCCCAATATAACATTGCTGGAATAATGTACCCCGATGTAACATTGCTGGAAAAATGAACCCTGGTGTAACAGTGCTGGAATAATGTACCCTGATGTAACATTGCTGGAATACTGTACCCTGATTTAACATTGCTAGAATAATGTCCCCTGATGTAACATTGCTGGAATAATGTACCCCAATATAACATTGCTGGAATAATGTACCCCGATGTAACATTGCTGGAATAATGTACCCTGGTGTAACAGTGCTGGAATAATGTACCCTGATGTAACATTGCTGGAATAATGTACCCTGATGTACCATTGCTGGAATAATGTACCCCGATGTACCATTGCTGGAATAATGTACCCCGATGTAACATTGCTAGAATAATGTACCCCGATGTAACATTGCTGGAATAATGTACCCCGGTGTAACATTGCTAGAATAATGTACCCCGATGTAACGTTGCTAGAATAATGTACCCCGATGTAACATTGCTGGAATAATGTACCCCGGTGTAACATTGCTAGAATAATGTACCCCGATGTAACGTTGCTAGAATAATGTACCCCGATGTAACATTGCTGGAATAATGTTCCCCGGTGTAACATTGCTGGAATAATGTACCCCGATGTAACATTGCTAGAATAATATACCCCGATGTAACATTGCTAGAATAATGCTAAAGGGCGTATAAACTCTCACATGCCCTTTGGGACTCGGAGTTTGTACAGATGAATAGCAATCTTGGCTGGTCGTAAGATGGGATCGCGACTTAATGGATCGATCGGTTGGTGTCTTAGTTGATTGTATGTCATCGAACCAGGACGCCGTGGATCGTTGGTCATAATATCAATCACTGGATTATCTGGTCCAGACTAGATTATCTACAGGCCGTCGCCATATAGCTACGTGAGGACAGGTTACTCTATTACCTCTCCTTCTCTCCTATTGGCAAGGTTTCTGCATATACATGCCCCAGAAACGATATTACGTGTACGTCGCACCATGGCCGTGCTACAAGATATAGTGACCTGAAACAGAGAAACTATTTGAACTCTGCATCACATAATAACATTCTTAACATGTAGAGTGAAATGACCCGGCTTAGCATCACAGACTAATGTCATGTGTATAAGTAGACGTTTCGAAAGGCAATATTTCCAATTCGGAAGGTTGTGGAGTTCATTGTATGTTATGATCTACAATCATTTGCAGACCATTGTGACATCACTGGTTACCATGACGTTACAATCAAATGACATCACTAATGGCTCTGCTACTAAAGCTATTAGCAGTACTTTTTACACTGAAGACACTGCTAATTACTGTCTACAAATTAAAAAAGTTGATGTTGATGTTGGATGATAAATAAAATCTCACCCTCGTGTCTTTTGACATCAAATATATCAACACTCGTGATAAAAGTGGCAAAAATCCTCGGCAAGCCTCGGAAGTTTTCCACTTTTATGAACTCGTGTTGATATATTTGATATCAAAAGACACTCGGGTGAGATTCTCTATCTTTGATAATCTTATTGCATTTTCAGATAGCGGGAATGGGGAACTTGCGTTTGCAGCTGTGCCGTTAGAACAGAGTGTAACCATTCTGGACAAAGCATCATGCATGGCCATCTCAAGTGGGACTGGTATACCGTTCACGGACAACCTTCTCTGCTTGGACATGGAACAAGGTCACAGCACTACGGGGGTAATAACTTCATTTGACTATTTCAAATCTTAGAAATGACCCTTTGTTTTTTATGTGAATGTTACCTTACATAGGGGGCACATGTCCCTCGTGATCCAATAGTCAGAGGCAGCACATTTCGCTCAGGTGAGTTGCTTCCCTTAGCCGTTGCAGGAGTCGGTTATCATGTGTTCGAGAACCAAATTCGCCCCTATCCGATCGTTGCTTTGTCACTATACGGGTTTCCTCTCACATCAAACTGACACGTCGTGACACAACTGAAATAGGTTTCAAAGCCGTTTTAACCCACCTCATGTACAAAATACAGACAATAAATACTTTTTAACATAGAGACATTAATGCAACTTGTATTTACATGTTATTTCAGGATGATACTGGAAGCCCAATAATGTGTCCTGACAGCGACCACCAGTGGCATCTTCAAGGAGTTCTGATCAGAGCCAACTTTAATGAAACCACGAGGCTTGCTCTGACTCCTTCTAACGCTGTCGCTTTTAATTCTTCCTGGATCTAGGCACCGGTTCTGTTCAAATGAGATGTTGGCTGTCTGAGCTGAGAAAGACTCCACGTTTACACTATGACAACGATATTTTGACACATTGCTTTGTTGAAAATATGTAACTTCAATCAATTAAATGCATAGTCCGTACAAAAGGCATAGACGTGTGGTTGTAGTTATTTTTCAGCCTTATGTATATACAATATTTTACAACGTTTACATGTCTGTGTGCTGGTATTCCGTACAGAGATTTGTCTTAATCAAACAAGTCATTTAATCATAAATTATAACATATTGAAATATATGATTATGAACTTCTAAGAAAATGTATGTGGATACATTTATGTTACATATTATGCTATAAATAGCAATGTGACAGTACATCAAGCTGGCCTCCATTTAAAGTTAAGTCTGTTTGTGGTAGTGTCTATAATTTCGTGGAGAAAATCCGAAACGGCAGTCAGAATGAGTTAACAAATGTTAATTAATATGTTGCCAGTTCTCTGTTAGAACTACATGTTCTTGCTGACTTGAAGAAACTATGCCGCATTTGCGCTTCGAAGCAATTATTTTTACTGTTTTATAATTGCTGTACGTACCTAAGAACCGTAACGGATAATGGATTCATTCGTATGGATTCACCATAACAACATGAAACTGTTCCCGTGACAGTAATTAAAACTAAATGATGACAATTATATTTGCACTTCTATATACATTAAGAAATTCAACAACATAAGCACTAATTTTATGTTTTATGACATACCAGGTAGAGAACAAAAATCACAAAATAGCTGTGAACTGTAAATATGATGTTCTGTTTACATGGCAGACGAAATTATGATTTATATTGTGTAAAAATAATAAATAATGAAACAATGTAAATATAACTATTTTACTACTTTTAACAATGCGGGCCTTTCCTCACAGATGACACGTATAGATTTGTTAAGATCCATCTTAATTATTTCCGTTAAAAATCACGCATACCTTTTGAAGTCCTTATTAAACGAGTCGGATGTAAAACACGACCAAATACATCACCTCTTGACCAAGGCATCATGCTGCGGGCTCATTGACAACACGTCGTGAAGGAAAGTTAAAAGACATGTCCTTTAGTCAAGGGTGAGTATATATAAGAAAGTTTTTTCGTAAAAACATTATCGTACAACTCATCTTACAAACTGATCCATAACGATGTTCCACTTCACACTCAAGTGCGTCGTCCTTGCTCTGTGTCTCTGTTTGTGTGCTTGTCAATTTACCAGGCCACGAAGAATACGGAGCGGGTTTGCTGGGTATAAACAATGTCGACAATCATTTGAATCTACCACCAACGAACAGTTTTGTTCAGCGTACGGTAAGATAATTTCTTTATTTTCTTCCTCGAAAGCGGTCAATTTCTGTCGTATTCTGATTGAAATTGTTTGTTTGTTGTTACGCCACAGAACAATAATCTAGCTATACGACGACGGTCTTTAATTAATCGACATATTTTCATATTTAGTGTGTTATCAGATTTTTATCATTTTGAGAACAGGCGTTTGTAGGTGATTCTTTCCCCTTCGCGGGATCACAGTCATAGTAGAGATGTAACCTTTCTCTACGCCAAATACAATTTATTAAGGCAGGCGAAGTCTATTTTGGATACGAAAACTGTTTTAGAAAGAAAAAAAGGCCGGTACTTTGTTGGTGCGAAACAAAGATACTGCCTTACTTTGGTATGTACTGTAACAATTCGCGAGCATCTCGAAATGTTGCGCTCATACAAGTGGTTATTTTCTTGCGAAATATAAACAACAGGACAGTTCATAAACTATAGACCAATAGAAATGATCATGACATGCGCACACCAATAGGAATGTTAATGAAAATCACACACCAATGGGAATGTTCATGAAATACACACACGAATACGAATGTTCATGAAATACACCCACCAATCGGAATGTTCATGAAATACACCCACCAATAGGAATGTTCATGAAATACACCCACCAATAGGAATGTTCATGAAATACACCCACCAATAGGAATTTTCATGAAATACAAACACGAATAGGAATGTTCATGAAATACCGCACCAATAGCAATGTTCATAAAGTACATACACCAATAGGAATGTTCATGAAATACACCCACCAATAGGAATGTTCATGAAATACACACACCAATAGGAATTTTCATGAAATACAAACACGAATAGGAATGTTCATGAAATACCGCACCAATAGCAATGTTCATAAAGTACATACACTAATAGGAATGTTCCTATACTACCCACACGAATACGAATTGGAATGGGCTAGAAGTATACACACCAATAGGAATGTTCATTTTATTCACACACCAATAGGAATCTTCATAAAATACATACACCACTAGGAATGGGCAAGAAATACACTAACCATTAGCAATGTTAATGAAAAACACACACCGATAGGAATGTTCCTGAAATACACACACCAATAGGCATACTCAAGACATATACACACCAATAGGAATTTTCATTAAATACACACACGAATACGAATGGTCATAAAATACACACGCCACAAGGAATGTTGATCACCTGAAGAAGGAATATTATGCATATTTGTTTGTTTGTTTGGTGTTCAATACCGCACTCAGTAATGTTCCAGCTATATGACAGCGGTCTTTAACTATGCGAATAGGAATGTTCCTAAAATACACCATACAAGACCTATTCTACCCCGGATCTTCACGGGTCTAATATTAAGCATAAAGTCACAAAAGGTGTATTCCTCATCATAAAGAAGTTGACATTCACGAATACATTTAGTCTCTCTTATGTGTATCACTTTAAAACGCAACAAGTCCTCAGCAACTCATAACTTGCGGTAAAAGGCGACGATGCTTGTCGTAAGAGGCGACTAACGGGATCGGGTGGTCAGACTCGCTGACTTGGTTGGTGCATGTCGTCGTATTCCAATTATGTGGATCGATACTCATGATGTAAATCACTGGATTGAATGGCCCAGACTCGATTATTTACATACCGCTGTCATACAGCTGGAATATTGCTGAGTGTGGCGTTAAATAACAAACAAACAAATAATACCATTCAAAAGCTTCAAATTAATGTCTTGAAAAGTTTTAAGCTTGAGTGATGGTCTGATTGATTCCGCTATATTTGTACTCTACCCCCATCACTTTACTTTTATTGCGTTTCCATATTATAGTGAACCAGTGTGGGGACATCATCAGGAACCCTCAGTTCCCCCAGGCTCTCTCCTGTGGCAGCTGCATCTTCACCTGGATGACCCTATGCCGAAGAAGCTGATCAACCTCGCCCAACATGTTTTTTTTATCTCCCATTAACACACACCTGTAACAAATACACATTTTCCAAATTTTGACATAGTGTAACAAGTATAATGTAGGAGCGAAATGCTTTCAATGTTAAGATGAAATAAATGATATTTTCATAACTATTCATTTTTATCAATTTATGAGTGAGTGAATGCTGCTTTACGCTCATTCAGCGGTTTCCGCCTATGTTACGGTTTGTAACTCATCAAGTAGGTGCAAGGCACTCATTGTAAGATGCCACACAAATAGCCAGGCTGCACAGTTTTGCGTCCGATCCTCATTGTATATGTGCTCTTGAATGCGATGATGGGGTCAAATTCTGCCACGTGTCTTCATGTTTTATACGGGGCGGTCGGGTAGCCTAGTGGGTAAAGCGTTAGCTCGTCACGCCGAAGACCCGGGTTCGATTCCTGACATGGGTACAATGTGTGAAGCCCATTTCTCGTGTCCCCCGCCGTGATATTGCTGGAATATTGCTAATAGTGGCGTAAAACCATACTCACTCACTCATGTTATATACATGAACGTAGTGAGCGGGTATTTCCTCGTGCATAACATCTCTGTGGAATATTGGGATATGACATTTAGGCAAGAATTAGGCATCAGAACTGGCACCAAGTTTTACAGAAGCCTCAGCCTCGATGATCTGATACCGTTCAATGGTGGTCGCCTAGTCAATTCCCATCAAATGATTTACCACCTGATCTAGAAATTTAAGAGTCCAGTGAAACCGCCTCATCTGTCACATATTTAGATCTATGCATAAAAACTATCCACATTATTATATGAAAGTAGGGATGGCATGACTATTTGACAGTGATTCACAACACATGCTTATCATATAGTCGGAATCGTACCATCATTTTGTCAGCGGTGTAAAACAGTCATTGCAATTTGGCAATTTTGAAAATAAATCACTTATGTAAATTAAAACTTCGATGGTATAGACTCACCCCTTTCGTTGAAATGACCGACTGTAAGGTAACAACGTCTATCTCGAGAAGATATTCACTGGCAACAGTAGCTACATATATCCGTGCGGTTGTTATAAGTCACCGCTTCATCGTCAAGTAATGATATACGCATAGGTGTTTCACAGGAAGGTTGCTTGATAAATAGTTATCTGTCAGGGCAGGACTGACATGTCACGTTGCACTGCACACGACAAGAGGACGCATTTCCTTTTATAAAGAATCAGTAAAAACAAGTAACGAGAACTTTCAAACTATTTTCGTATATTTTTGTAAAATGTGAAAGGTTACATTCAAACACATTTCATTTGGTTGTGGTTGACCTCGTAATGCACTCCAACACTCTAGACTACCATGGAGAGCATCCTTTCATCCACGCATCGACCTGAAGGACAATGTGGGTGGGTATGGTGTCCATCCTACAAAGACTGCAACTACAACAACCTCACCAATACCATGCACCATAAGGACCATGTCAAACCTTTCATCTACCATTTCCTTCCGTCCATGTCTGTATGTGTGTCCGACAAACAGTTGGGTATGGAGCCCCACCTACAAAGCATTGCCACTGTGAACTACGTAGCGTACAGAAACAGCATCAAGGCATTGTGAAACCTGCAACTCCTATTTCCTTCTTCACATTTATATATATACCCTACCATTCCGTGTGTTCGATACAGTCCTGTGAGTAAGTATGTCTCGATCTGTGCTGGCATGTGTGATTATTCTGGTATGTATCGCCCTCTGTACTGGCCAAGGCCGGAGACTGACGAGATTCAGATTAGTCAGATCCGGCTTGATTGCCTCTTCAGACTGTCATCAAGTGTTCAATTCCACCAGCAACGATGGGTTTTG